TATATTAATTTATTCGTTAATATTATTATATTTATTTGATATATTTATATTTATTCTATATTTTAATACTTACTGACGATAGATTAGAAGAAACATTAGTGTTTGGAGTATCGGGCAAATACATACCGGGCAAATGTATACCGGTCAGTGGCACTCAACCTTAAAAAGACATCAGTATAGGGTATATCGGGCAAATGTATACCGGGCAGTGGCACTTAACCTTAAAAAAACATCAGTGTAGGGTATACCGGGCAAATGTATAGCGGGATATGGTACTTCACCTTAAAAAATATCAGTGTAGTGTATACCGGGCAAATGTATATCGGGCAGTGGCACTTAATCTTAAAAAAACATCAGTGTAGGGTTAAAATATCGAATAAATCTAATCGGACATTCGCCAATGCATTTCTGTGATTGTCGACATACACCGGTGAGGGTCCGAATGTACAAGAATGTAATGAAATATTCGATCTTTCACCGACGTATTTGGTGTTTGTCGACATTCACCAGTGAAAGTCAACAACCACCGATTTCGGTCTTTCGCCGTGACATTTATATATATTCTAAACATTTAAATTTAAAAAAAAAGGTAAGGAAAACTTTTTTCTATCTACATCCTACTTATCGTGCAATAGTTCATTAAGCAAAGTAATGTTTAATTTCGGGGGGGGGGATTTGTCCCCCTAACCCTCCTCAAAACTACGCCACTGATTACAAATAAAGATTACAATAGATTTAGGCAAGCAATTTAGATGAGTGGGAAAAAAGAAAATACTAGCAAAGAGAATGAAATGTTATTATTAATTTTTTAATAGAAGAGAGATAATGTTTGTGTGAACTAATTATGCAGTTAAAGTAATTCTTTTTATTATTCTCATTATACAGAGATGCATAATCTAATTTGCCAAAAAAAGAAACGAATTTCATTTAATAAATGATACGAATACAGACTTGCTATCGTTTTCAGTTTCAGCCGAATTTTTTTCTTAAATATCTAAAGTTGCAGCAATTTTCCAAATTCAATATTTTAATTAGACTAATTTTGAATTCCACGGTATTAAATAATCTTTATTAAAATCCTAGTGAATAAGCGGAGATATGTTTAAATCCTGTCGAAGTTTTAAATACATTTTGTTACCGATATGTTATTTTAAATATTGCATATTTTAAAGCAAAATTTTCCAATTTATAACTTTATACTCTATCTTTTATGATTCATAATACACTTTGTTAGTTGTTAGAAGTGTACATTAATTCGCAAAAATATCATTTCAGGTCACGTTTCTTTGCGTCCAACTTATACGAGGGGGATTGAGGATAGTTATATTGAGACAAAATATATTAATTAATAGATAAGCCTAAATCGTCGTCAAGACATCAAAGAAGTTATTCAACCAATTATGACCTTAATGCTTTTTATCTCATTTCATGGTCAATTTTGGCTTAAAATAAACATTTCTTATTTTAAAAAAAAGTTTACAAACCATGTCAAATTTCACAATATATCATGCAAACATATTCGAAACAAAATACAACACGTGCATTTTATGCGAAATTTATCGATCTACTACAATTTTTGCAACTTTCACTGAAGAATTTTTATAACACTATAAAACATAATACACTTGATATTTTCAAAGAATTTGCGAATTTTAAAATTATCCACAGCAGCTAGCTGATCACTTATTCTAAAGGGTGATGAGCTTACTGTTAACAAAACTCAGTTGTACCATTAAAAACCTAATTGATTTTTAGTTTTTTATCCTTGTAGATCTGGTTATTTTTATTTTTATTACTGCTTTTTATATTGCTATTGATATCATTTCATTTCTTTCTAGCAATTGTCTACTGAACCAAGCAATGCGCCTCATGATACGAATAGACAGGCTGTTGCATCTCAAACAGAAAAGTATACTAACTCTGGTGGAATGCCCACTCTTCAACAGCAATATCAATCGATGTATGGTCTAGCATCTAATCCTCAAAATGCTACTTTAGTACAACAACGTCAACAGATGCGTTCTAATCCTATGGCAATGCCGGTAAGATAGAAATAAATCTTAATTTTACAATTTGTGGGAATATATTGCTTCAAACCAAATTTTTTGAATGGTTGTTCTGTTTTGAATAGGTGTGGAATAGTCTTGAAAGCCGAGATGGCTCAGAGTTCTTGAACGTTAGCCTTCTAATGAGGCGAACCGGATCCGAATACCAGTCGATACGAATTCCGCATCCGGCTTGCACCGACCACAGTGATGGCGTGAAATATCCTCAGTGGTAGACGGATCATGGGTTAGAGTCCCCTTGCCGTCAAGCTAACTTTGCGAGGTTCTCGTGGTCTTCCTCTCTATGTAACACAAATGTGGGATAGCTCCATCAAAAAGTCCACCAGGAAGGCAAATTTCTCCCAATACTTGATCCAGGAGTTCCCTTGCCTTTTGGATTGGGTTCAAAATTACGTTAGTAGTCGTAAACCCAAAAATTGGGTCAGCTGTTCAACGACGGTTATATATATATAAAAAAAGAAGAATAGTGTTGTTCTTCAAGTTGACTAAGATATTTTATCACTTAAGTGTTTATCGAAATGTAAGCCTGGAAAACTGCCTGTCTGTTCTAAAACTGTTGAAAGTCGTATAAAAAGCAGCATTGTCATTTTAATTTAATGTAAAATTCAGAATAGATCATAAATAGTTTTAATTTTATTCATTATAAAGTACTTTATTTCTACTTACGTGATCACTTAAACTTATTGTAAAGCAACCATTTTTTGTACTTTTTTCTGAAATTTCAATATATTAATTTTGATTTATATTCTCGACATGTTTATTTTCTCCTTTACTTTATTACTTCTTTTTAAACAAGCGTGATTTTCTATTTATCATCAATATTTCTGATTCATGTAATTTCGCTATTTCTTTCTTCTTCCTTTTTATCAGCTACTATTTTCGAACTGCTGAATTTTCGGACTCATGTAATTTATTTTCTGTTTCATTTTATCCTTCAACAAGTTTCTTTTTTAATTAATCTTTGTTACTGTCCATTTTTATCTAGTAAATTAATTTCGAATTTTTTCAAAAAGAAAAAAAATGCTTTATATATATAATTGTGTACAGAAAATAATATTGCATCCATATTAGAAGGTTAGAATAATGATAATGACCTTTTATTTATTCTTGCATCGATGTCTGACATTACCATGTTCTTTTCTGCCAAGGCAACTTACATCAAAACTGTATTTCATTTCAAATTAAGAAACGACCTTTGCGCTATAGGATTTAAGTAATCATCCGCGACTGCATATAGTTCCATTTTATTTCGTTTTCAAATTATACAAGTATGCTTTCAAAATGATTAAAAGATTTTAAAAGTTAAAAACGTCTGACAGAAATTCAATTCGTGCTATCTTATACCATACATATCATGGAATTATTGAAAAAAGGTTATAGTTTCATAGTTTTACTGGAATCCTAGGCTTGGCGACATATTTCGATAAATAAGGAGAACATTAGTTCTTGAAAAAGAAACAACTGTATGACGTTGCAAGAACATGGATTTGATTGCACTACTGAAAATGGTGCGTTTTAGTCTAACATACCTCAGCTAATCGAATGCGAGATAAAGAATTTTTACTGTAGAAGAAAATCGTCAACGAGAAACAATATTTATTATTCTTTCATCAGTTTCTTTAAATGCGAACAGAAAGGCATATATTTGTGACGATTTTTAGACATCATTTTTATCAATTCTTATTACTTGTTAATTGATTATTCAATACGTTGTGTTTCCTCATTTCACACGATATAAGAAAGCAAGCAAAAAGAAGGCTTTTTCAACATTGTTTCAAGAGTTGGCGATGTTGATATTCATTCCTGTTGGGAGCTTGGCATCCATTTGGCGAGTATTAGATGCAAACAAGCTCTCTCCAGAGAGATAATGATTTTCCTTAACTTGTCACAGAGTATAGACATTTACGTTTTAGAGTTGCCAGAGAGAATCCCCCAGTCACAGTCCATACAGCACAAATCATCCATTAAACGTTCAGAATTAGCCTACGTGATGCATTAGACGTCGTGGATGAAATATCGGCGTATACTAGACGTTTTATTGCAGCTTATTTATGGATAATTCACAATGACTTAAGTACAGACATCTTATAGATAACTATAACTGACGTAATGTGAATAAAACAAACGGTGGACCCTAAGAGACGTCTACAATACAGCAATTAAAAAACATCGATTAAGAAGTTCTTTAGACAGACTATTTTTATTATTGATATATATATATTCACTCATTTTAGGAGACGTCTACGAAACAGCAATTAAAAAACATTGATTAAGAAGTTCTTTAGACAGACTATTTATATTATTGAAATTTGAATACAAATATTTTTTCAGAATGAATTTTCTTTACTGTGGGAAATTTTTTGTAAATTAGGGCGATTTATTGAGCTATGGACTAAGCTATTGCGATGCTGAGTAAAAAGGCTATATTTTTATTACTCTATTTAGAATCTCATTTCTTTTGTCTTGTTTTCTACATTATCAATAACATTTGGTTTCCTTCTTCAAACTATATGTACTGAATATCTGCCCATCTGGAAAGTAATGGATTTCGGTATTGAACAAAATTTGTCATGATTTCAACTATTTTTTTAAAAAAAATCATGGAAAATCATGGATTTAGATTTCAGAAAAATCTAATTTTTAAAATGGAATTTATAACCTCCCCCCCTCCGATTTCACACTGTTCCGATGTTCGGAATATCTAAATTTGTAACAAAATTCCCACTCATAGACATATTTTATTAAGATATAAAAGGCTTTCTTCCTGGTCTTTAAAAAATGTGGTGTTTTTTTCAAAAAATGAAAGAAAGAACATTATTTTTAGTGGGAATTATCTTTTAAACTTCCATGGTTTCAGAATTTGTTTTATCTATTTATTACCTTTTTATTTTATCAATTTAAAATTCTAGTTTAGACTTTTTATAGTATACTTAGTATTAAGAAGAAATAAAGTGGGTTTAAATAACTTTATCTGACTGTATTTAGTTATTTGCTTTTGCATTTTTTCTTAGCTATTTTACTGCTTCAACTCTTTCTCTACTTTGTTTTTAAGTTTAAAATCGATAAATATGAAAATGCAAAGTATAATAGTTTTGGTTATACCTATCATTTCACTTAATGTTATTATAATGCTTTTTTTTAAATTTATTGTTGTATTTTTGTCGGAGAAAATAACAATTTCGGTTAGTCATTAGAAATTCTTGGAATTATTCGTGGAAAGTTTGGATTTGAAAATTTTAAATGTAGCAGATGCCCTATATGTATACGTTTTATATGCGGCCTAGTTTTAAATACATTTTGTTACTAATATGTTATTTGAAATATTGTCATAATTATTATTCAATATTGAATATTTTAAATATTGTATATTAATCACCACGTATTTCTATATTCAGGGATACTATACAGCTCGAAGTAGCGTGCCACAAACTATACCAAACATGGGAAGGACACCATTGCAAACTGCTGTCAACCAAGCTGGGCAACAACCAACATCTCACTATGGACAGATGTTACCTCCTTTTTCTCATCCTATGCAACCAGACATTGTGAACCACCAATTTCAACAAATGGTTCATACTTCTCTCCTTTTTAATAATAATTTTCTACTTGCATTTTTTATTTGCTATTTGTAAGTGAAACTTCATGTATTGTCGAAAACATCATCTTAATAATTTATTTTCACCTGAAACTAGGATTACAATTGCTACAATAATCAGTATGACATATTTTAATTATACGACTACACTTTCCAAGCATTAAATAAAATTATTTTATAAGGAAGTTTTTTCATCTAATTGTTTCTATATCAGGGCAAATGTAAATGTTGTAATTGTACAACAACACCTTCTAAAATAAGTTATTTGAATAAAAATATTCATTCACGATTATTTTGTTTGTAATTTTCAACTGATGTTGATTTATGTACGTTTTTTTTGCATCAGAATAATTTAATTTGTGGCAGTAGCTCACTATGGTTTATTATTTACATTCACTAATCACATAATGCTGCTTGTAATTCGAGCAGTTTATAAATTGCATGTCATTTTTGCATTGTGCATACAGTGACTCATTTTACCTTACATCAGTGAATTACCTTAAATAATCTTAAGAAGTAAATAAAATTAACTGCATGTGATATCGTCGAAGAACTGTATCAGGTTACAGTTCCATTTTTTTTTTTAATTTAATGAATATTTAATCACTTTTGTAAAGATTATTTGTCTGAATCTTATAACTATAATATTTTGTATGCATAATTTCTGCAAAATTTGGAATTAATTATGTGATTAACATAATGTCTAAAGTGTAAAGGAAAGTCAAAATTTTTGTCTAGACCATACCTCTCAATTACGACGGAATCGTAAATTAAGTGTTGCAAAAAGTGATTAATCTAATTCAAATTATATTATATTAAGTGTTTATATAATTATATTATAAACCTGTCATAATATTACATTAAGTATGCAAAAATTTAACTAAAAAAACGTAAAAATAAACCAAATATTGCTCGGTATACAATGCAGATTTACAATGGAATTGTCATAATGTGAGTCTGTCAAAGAGTGATCACGGACATTCGAAATACATATGTTATCATAACATCATATTAAAAATATTGGAAATGGAGAACTCACGTAAATAGTAGGGAAAAAACTATTAGAAAACGACATGGATCAGCAGAGAAACGAAATTTCAACTGTGAAAAGCCTTTGGTCGAAAAAAACATTCGAAATCGATACAGGTTGTCATTGTAATAATTCGTGTTCGCTTCATTCAAATCTTATACATTCTAATTAAGTCACATTAAAAAATTCAGAATTTGAAAATTGCGCGGATTTATGAAGTTATCAGATCGAATAGAACTTTTTTTAAAAAAATATATGTACACTGAGGAGTGAAAAAAGTTAAGGAAAATCTCTTAACATCATGTCGGACCTTCTCGAACTCTACGAAGCGCAGAAATTCGACATGGAACTCATCAAGAAGTTCGAAGTCTCTTGCAGGAATATTCAGCCATGTAGCCTCCATAAATGTCCCTAATTGCGAAAGTGTTACAGGTGCAGGATATTCTACACAAACTGACCTCTCGATTATTGCCCATAAATGTGCGATAGGATTCATGTCGGGTGATCTAGATGGCCAAATTATTCGCTGAAATTGTCTAGAATGTTTCACACCAGTCGCAAACAATCAAGGCCCGGTGACAAGGCGCATTTTCATCCATAAAAATTCCATCATTTCTTGTGTACATAAAATCCATGAATGACTGCAAGTGGTCTCTACTTAGCAGAACGTAAACTTTTCCAGTTACAGCGGAAAGCGAAACTTCCACAGTCTCTTCCCAAGTTTTTCCGGTCCAGTTTTTTTTTCTCTCTGTCTCTCAATCGATTGAGGGCTTGGAGCTCCAACTTTTTCTTTAATTTTAATTTGTTAATAAATTAACTCCAACTCATTAGTCTAGTTTATGTGATAGTTGTAATGCCAGTATCTAAGAAGTTTTAGGTTATTCTAGTTTATTTTAATTATGTAATTACATTATTTTTATGTTTACTGATATTTTCCCTTTCAGCAAGCCCAGACAGCAGGGCTTCAGTGGGTCTGTAGGGTTGAAGAATTGAGCTCTAGGTGCATGGGGCAACGCACATTGCTTCTGGGGGTGGCTGGTGGTTTCTCTGCCCTCATAGGTCTAGGTCCTTCGACCTCTAGAGTGCAGGATTAGTGAGTGAAGTGGCCGGCCATCAAGAGCTGTAAACCTGCTTCTCGGATCAGCTAACCACCTGCGACGACCAAGCATTTCCAGTCAATGATCGGTGCAATCGGGACTTAGGACTCAGTTCATTCCATGAAAAAGCAGCCCACACCATTATGGAGCCACCACCAGATTGCCTTGTTGACAACTTGGGTTAATGGTTTCATGGGGTATATGACACACTCGATCTTTCCCATCAGCTCTGACCAGCTGTAAGCGTGGCTCATCTGACCGATCTGCAGTTTTCTAGTCGTCTAGGGTCTAACCAATATGGTTACGAACTCAGGAGAGGCACTTGAGTCTGTCTTCCGTTGTGTTTTCCCATAACAGCCAAATTTCGCCTCTCTGTCCTAACAGACACGAACATCTGTTAACACAGAAAATTCTATGCGGAAGTGGTGGTCTCAATCGTTAACTTCAGGCGGCCGACCACCACGAAGCACTTTAAATAGGCAACTGAAAAGTCATTGTTTAACATTTAATTATGATTTTATTTAGATTTACTATATAAATATTTTCTATTTACATTCATAATGTACCTATATTTTGGGGTGGATAATTTTTGCCCTGTCAATTATTGATGTACGACCCGCGAGAGCATCTGAACGTAATGAAAAAATTATCTTTTTCTCTTGAAAAATAAATAAAATATAAAAAATTGAAAATATTGACTTGCGCTTCATTAATCAGTTCTTGTCACGCTCAATTACGTTGTTTTTCGATCGCGTATTCAGCGGTTATTCCTACGGAATTTTTACTTTAGTATTCCCCATGGTTTTGAAATCATAATATTTTTAATACGATATTACGATAAGCGAATTTTTAATTTGAGTAATGACTTTTAAATTTGCTTAATTTGTGCCAATTTCATTGTAAATCTCAAGTTATTTTTCGGCTGTTATTACAGAGCCTTTCAAAATGGTTTTAAAAGATTGATACTTTTAAAGCAATATTATTATGAATCTCGAAGTTTAATTACGTATTTAAGTAATAACTTCTTAACACACTTTCTTTGTGCTAATTTTATCGTAAATTTGAGGAATTTCTTTATGGTAGATTCTTATGCTTTCCGCGTTCCTACGCTTTTTCACGTGATTCTGAGAATCCGTATTTTTTCTACGATATTCGAATACAATTTCGAATCACACATTTAAGTTATCACTTTTTGACGCTCTTTATTTATGCCGATTTCCTTGTAAATTGTTTAGATCTTTTTTTAGGAGTTATTACTATTCATTTCCACGTAGTTTTAAATTTTCCGATATTTTAATACAATATTATTAATATTAAATAGCAGATTTAAATACTAATTACGTTATGATGCGCTTTATTCTTGCTGATTTCGTTACAAAATAAAGTGTTATTTTTTTTCTGGCAGTTATTGCTGCGTTTTTCCTTGTGATTTTATTGATCCCGATCTTTTATTTACGAATTTATTATGATTCTTCGATGAATGGAAAATTTTAAACTGCTTATTTTTCGTAATTTTTTTTTCTTTTGGTAGTTTCAGTGGTTGTTTTTGGGAGAAAACGTTTGCTATTTAACATTCATAAAACCTTTAATTCACTAAATATATCTTAATTACAAGTGTATTTCCAGCTGAATATTGAACCTTATTTTGCCCTATAAAGTTTTTGCTTTTATTTTAAATCATTTTATATCTTATAAATTTTTATTAATTAAAATATTTAATTTAAATTTATATTCCCCTTTAAAATAATTAATTATTTTTCTGTGAGCATTGCAGTAGTTTAATCGTCAGAATCTATTTTAAAATGTACTTTTGTATTATATGAATTGATAAAATAACATTACTTTTACCTAATGTTTATATTTATTTTACTAAATCTGTTTTTCGAAATCTGTTTTTTTTAATCACGTCAAATAGTAATTTTCTGACCTAAATTGATTGATGAAAAAGATTTAGAGCACAGAACACTACACTATATAATAATAACCATATTTACCGTCGGTATGTCTAAATACCTTTGTTAATCAACCTGCGATGCAAGTGTCTCCTCACCCACACCGCTTTTTTAAATAATATGGCAATATTCCTATTAATAAATGTTTCAACCACTGCTATGTAGCATTACCATGAAGCAACTTCATTAAAAAAATGTCCCTATTATTAATATTTCTGTTTCTTTTTTTATAATTATTTTTCAATTTCGTGTTATATTTACGAAATTTTCGGAAGCACACCGCTAAAAAAGTTCTATATTATACTTCTCAAAATATTTTCAAATTTAAGATAAGAAACTTTATATCCATAAATAGATAAAGAATTTGAACATGTGTTGGCAATTTATTATTAAGCCTTATTAAGAAGTCATGTCATTCTCTATTATAAATTGGTGTTTGCTAAATTATATCATTTGGTAAATAACATAAGAAAATAATAGTTAATAAATTTACTTGACGAAAATAGTCCTTACAGTTACTTTTTAGACACATTTTTACTTCATGTTTTTTCCTCATCAATATCATCCCTGGTATCAAAAACTCCTAAACATCATTAATGAAATCAATGTTTTTATTTATTTGTGTGTTTTATTTATTTCACTTGAAGAAGAAAAAAACATATTTTGTGTTTTACGTAAATTTTTACATTTCGTTATTGTTTAATTTCTGTATCAACAGAGGCCATTTAGTCCTCCCCAGAACATAATATTCCCAGCAGCAACTGGCCAGCCTGTTCATCTTAATAATCAATGGGGTACTCCATACAAAAATCCTCCGCAAGCTAATTCAAGTGATATGATGTGCATTACTTCTTTTTTTTTTATTTAAAATGTTTTTTTTTACTTTGTAATTTGATAATTTTCATTATTTTTATTTAAAGGTTTCTATCAGTCCCTGCCAACTTACACCAACCCCATTTCGCCTGCACAACAAATTTCTCAGCAGCCTGCTCAGCAGACACAAAAGAAAACAAAAGCTTATGCAATAATTGATCCTGCAACAGGAAGAAACATTTTTGACGGCAGCAATGATGATGAGGATAGTTCTCGTTCAACACCAGAAAAAGAAATTGTAAGTAATGGTTGGAGAATGATTCATCGATTCCTACGTTGGAGTCTTCACTGAAACCATTTAAGTGAATGAGTATGATAAAATCTAATCAAATATAGTTTAAGCTGTAAAAAAATTCTTTTATTTGATACTCGTTTTCTGTATTTTCCAGACGTGTAAATTTATCTCAGCATTCTTGAAATTTTGCATCTTCGCCTGCTTTCGATCAAAAGACTTGGTTAAGGATTGCAAAACTTTGATATGCAATCCATCTACAAAGCATATGTTGATGGATTCAGCATATGTACATAGAATCCATCCATTCGATCAAAAGACTTGGTTAAGGATTGCAAATCTTTGATATGCAATCCATCTGCAAAGCATATGTTGATGGATTCAGCATATGTAGAATCCATCCATTCGATCAAAGGACTTGGTTAAGGATTGCAAAACTTTGATATGCAATCCATCTGCAAAGCATATGTTGATGGATTCAGCATATGTAGAATCCATCCATTCGATCAAAAGACTTGGTTAAGGATTGCAAAACTTTGATATGCAATCTATCTACAAGGCATAGGATTCAGCATATGTAGAATCCATCCATTCGATCAAAAGACTTGGTTAAGGATTGCAAATCTTTGATATGCAATCCATCCACAAAGCATATGTTGATGGATTCAGCATATGTAGAATCCATTCATTCGATCAAAAGACTTGGTTAAGGATTGCAAAACTTTGATATGCAATCCATCTACAAAGCATAGGATTCAGCATATGTAGAATCCATCCACAGAAATGTATAATAAGGATTGAAGTGATCAGAATTTGCTTCCGAATTTTTAGGAAAATGGATCTTAACCGCTTCCTTACCATTTCTTTTGAAGAAAAAAAAAATGCACAAAAATCAACATATTTTTTTATTTCATGAATAATTGCAAAGAACTAAAACAAAACATAACACCCAAGTTCTAAGTTGAAATTTTAATTTCTTTTTATGTGTAAAAAATATTTAATTTAGCATCAGTTTACTATCCCAAATTAACTCGGGCAGATGAAAAAAAGTTAAATATTAGTCTTTGTATATGTTCACATCTTCATAATCTGAAAATTCAACTGCATTACTTTTGCTCGCGAACTCCATTTTTTTAAACTCTTTTTTCTATGTAAAGTCATCAACCATCGTCTATACCAGCGGTTCTTAACCTATGGGTCACGACCCAAAATTGGGTCGCGAAGCATATTTCTTGGGTCTCGCTGAGTCGAACCAGAAAAGTTAGTAATACACCAAATAATAAGTAATACCAACACCTCCTAGAACAAGTCATTGTGGCTTACTCAGCCTAATTTTGACTTTTTTTTTGGGTCGCGACATGAACATATTTCTCAAATTTGGGTCGCGGCTTAAAAAGGTTAAGAACCACTGGTCTATACAATTGTACAAAACACGTCTGCAGTCCCACAAATAGCAGAACTCCAAAACAAAAATTGGCAAACTTCCAATCACAGCAGATCATTATTATTTTTTGTTTTGATTCCGGCTGCATAAAAACGTGATAAAACAAAACGTATGGACGAATTCTGCTATGCCCGAGTTTACTCGGGATAAAAAAAATTACAATATATGCATACCCGAATTAACTCGGTATAATCAGGGAAGTGGTTAAGAGAAGAAAATCCTTAATTTTCCTATGACGAAATTATATGAGGAGGAATTGGGGAACATATACTTATTTATTTTTATAAAATGAAATAAAATCTTGTGAAAAATATTCACTGAATAAAGTTCTTAAGTATAAAATGTAGTTTATGTAAGTTATTAAGAGAAAAGCTGTGTGATAAAAATTTGTTTATACCCTAGAATTCTTAAATGTACCTGTGAAAGGATAAGTCACTTTTTTAATTTCTAAACTTTTATGTTTCTTATCATTTTACCTATGTAATTAAATTGAGATTGTTTATAGGGACTATTGAAGCAACTTCAATATGATATGAAATGTTCTTTTTAAAATATAAAACTCGTTTAATAAACAATTTATCTTTTTATCTCAACAAGTATTATTTAAAAAATTATAATTATCTAAGCTTAAGTTTGATTTTATTAAATAATAAATAAAGGGCATTTTTCATAATTTAAGAAGGAAATAGATAATTAGAAGCTCTATTTTACTATCTTTAGTAACATTATTTTTAATTAGCTAAGTAGAAGAGTATTACAACTTTAAATGAAACAAAAGAAAATAATTATGTATGCAAAAAGTTGTCCTCGTTGTTGTCTTTAAACTTTTTGGGGAGAGTAGTTTACCAGGAATGTCGTCAATGCCAACCTTCTTTTATGAAAAGATACCCCTTCATAGAATTGAGCTAACATGTCTTATATACTAGTGAATTGGATTTGTATTTTCGTAGTGGTAGACGCACTACAGTACTCTCCCACTAGAATTATATCGGTGATAGAATTTGGTGAATGAATGCCACTAGTTGATTCATTGCAGTTTTGTGAGAAGCCGGGAGAGCTGTATTAAGTTCGCGGTCATGGTTGCTCCTGTGTGGCCTTTAGCAGTCGAGTGAATACGGTGTACGTTGTGTGTGATCGAGACTGAGTAGCAACAGCGCGAGGAGGTAGATAATGTCGCAGTCACAAGCAGCAAATCAACTGTTTAATGTGGACCATCCATCGAAGTAGACGTTACTGCCGAGATAGACGTGTTCATATCGATGTGGGAGTTTCTGTCAAGGTAGGCATGGTCACATCAGATCCGAAGGTCACCAATATGGGGAGAGTAAGTACCGGGAATGTCAACCTTCTTCTATGGAAAGATATCCCTTCATAGTATCGAGCTAACATGTCTTATATACTAGTGAATTGGAATTGTATTTTCGTAGTCACTACAAACTATTATTTGGACATCCTAATCCGAAACTGTCACCACATTAAACGTGCAATTGTTTTATCATGAATAAATATAACTTTCAATTGAGTGGAACAAAAGATATGGCGGTCTTTTTGAGGGCATGACTTCACTTGTTAGACGTTATGCCAAATTTTCTTAATTTCTGATTTCCATGATTGTATACTAATAACAGTTTTGTCTTCACAGTAAAGTATATCTCATTAAGTCATATTCTTATATGTTCCAAAATAAAAAAAAATAAAAAAAAATTCAGGAAAATTCAGATCCAAGCAGATGTGTTCAATTTGCAGCTCAAGTGGCTGCAATTCTAAATGAGAAAAGTGAGCCCCTATCTAGATCTTCTGTTGAAGACACAAGAATTATAGATTCTCAAAGTATTAAGGTAAAATTTGTTAAGGCATGCAAATTTTCGTAAGCTGTAAGATATTTTATAATTAAAATATATATATATATGATTATAGACTGCAAAATACGAAATTTGACAGAAATCGGTTAAATAGTTCCTGAAAAATCAATTTGTAAATGTGCCACTATTTTAAAATTCGTTTTCTCGTGATCTATTTGACCAATTTCGTTCAAACTTTGTATTCTGCCACTCGAAATTTCATTCTTTAAAATTATACAAAAATGTGTAGATCTTAGAGTTTAAATATTATTTTATTGCTTTTAAATAAAATAATAAAAAATAATAAATAGTTATTCAATGTTCTTTTTCGTATGAAAATATTTTTGGATGAAAGAATTTTATAATTGTATGCAAAATTGTTTCGATTCGCACAAGAAGTTCTTGAGACATGACGAAATACTCAATAAGCAAAATTAAAGTTAAGGTGTTCTAACTTTCGACCTCTCTTCTAACCACATTATGGGGACCATATTTCCCAAATTACGACTTCTCTATGTTAAAAATCTAACTCCTACAGAAAAAGGTATGTTTACAGCTGTAGTAGATAAATTTACCCTGAAGCATGCGAATAGTAATATTTTTCTAAACATGCTAAAGAAGAAACATTTTGAGATTAGACAGTTTTAATGTATTTGCGTTTTGTTTTAGAAATTGGAATCCACATTTTGTCCTACAAAAGTAAAACCGACCACGTCAACGTCAATTGACGAAATTAAAAAGAATCTCCTTGATTTACTGCAAAAAACTGACGAAAGTGAAAAAATACTTGATTGGATAGATGTAAGTTGAGATTTATTTCATTTTTGAATAAAATTTTGAAGATAAAGGCTCATATCATTAAAAATAATATCTGATTCAAGTGCAATGTGCATTAGAAAATAGACTTTTTTTGACTCATATTGATTGTCATTGACTTTTAAATAATAATATAACTGAAGAAAAGGAGCTACATGTCTGGCTATATATAAAAATCAAACGCTGTTTTCCATTGTTGTTGTTACATATTGTTGTTATACATTATCATTATACACCATTGATGTTGTTGGTCGGGAAATCACTTGTAGGATCCAGTTTTCCCACAATTACTTCTATATATTTTCAGTTGTTCAGGGTTTCCACTCCACAGGGAGAACAGGGAAATCTTGGAAAATACAGGGAATTTAAAAATCTTCTAAAATAACAGGGAATTTTGATTTTTTTCTTTACAAACTGGGAAAATACAGGGAATTTTGTTTCTTATTTTTGCCTTTTAAAAAATAGTGACCACTCAAAGTGTAATCTATGGGATATTTAACCATGATATTTCAGCTTTTCTAAACTATTTAATTTACTACAGCATTATTTAAGTATGTTCAGCAGTTTTTCCAACAATTAAAACTAATAAATATAGTTAGCCTAATATAGCTCACACAACAGCGCAGTAATTGTTGTGTTTCCTCTTAATATATTGTGTATAATATTTTTTTATTTTTTTATTTTATTTAAACGACTTAAAACTCCTCATGCACCACAAAGTATAGCATGAGGCTTACAGTTGTAAGTAAAAAACAAAAGGAGAAAAATTTACAAATTTACATTAAAAACAAAATTCCGCAAGGCCGCAAGACTTTCAATACTTTTGACCAGTTCTGATAAGGCAGGTGGCCAACAAATTGAAAGACGTCTCAAATCAGTCTTTAAATTCATTCGGGCACTCGCATAGAGACTACAGTGAAGAAGAATATGTTCAGCATCTTCACCAGCATCACCGCAAGCACAAATTCCACTGGTCTGCAGATGGAAACGAAATAAATATCTTTTAAAATTTCCATGGTTTGTTAAAATTTGGGTCAATTTAAAATCAGTTGCAAAGAATTTACATTGCAAACAGTGAAAAATGGATGGAAAGAACCTTTTCGTCCAGAGCGACCTAGGCGAAGCTAGAAATTCTGCATTCCAGTCCGCAATGATGCTCTAGCGATGCGCTTCCAGTGAGAAGCTGGAACAGACACCCTTAAGTCTATTTCACCACACGTAGCTTCCCTAGCCAATTGGTCTGCTCTTTCATTGCCCAAAATACCGCTATTTTGTATAATATGTACAGGGAAAACACAGGGAAATTTTCTTTCCAGATTTAAGTGGCAACCCTGTTGCATAAAATTAATAAAAGTCATAAAAGCAATGTTTCTCTTGTAAAATATTTCTGTATTCCTATATAAAATTAATTGACTCGAGTAAATTTAAAAAAGGAAATTAAACCTGCATATTTTTTTATTATTATTTTATTCTGCTATTATTATGTTTTTGAGTTTGATTTTTATTTTTGTTAATTAAGAATTTAAAGCTGAAAGAGTTGTTTCTTTATTATAACGTAATTCTAAGATATCATCTTTCTATGGTACATTTTAAGACAAACTTATATGAATCGGTGTGAGTTACACTCATATGCTCTATTAAAAATTACAGTCGAAGAGATTCGTTAAATGATTTAAAACTTAACGATCAGCTCTATGCGCAATATGATTCCTGCGCGAATTGAGTAATTTAAGGTTGTGAACTTCTCGCATTTGTTATAACAATATCTGTAATTTTAAAGGTTATTTTGAAAAATTATAACTAAGCAAAATTAATGTTCACTTATAGAATCATAAGAAAAACTGATGCAAGATATTTCATACTATTTTTTACCTATCAAATTACACTCAAACATTTAGTTTAGAAGAAAGAATGTTAGACGTGGGAAGTAGAAAAAATGGTTATTCATGAATTAATAAAATTATTCAATTTCAGCCTCTTCACGGTGTCGAGACGCTATGTCGAATTTTTTATAAATCCAGAACCTTATCGAACTGGGAGCTTGAAATTTGGACATCAACTACAAAGAGCTATTTCATCCCTTGATCTTAAAAATCTTTTAAATATATTAATAAGTCTGTTCGAGAGAGATGTTTGGAAAATGATTTTTTGCATTGGTTTAATATTAGCCATTGTTATAAATAAAACAGTAGGCAATTCTCTGTAGGATTTTATTGCACAGGTTCTTTAATGATTAATTGCTTTGTGCAACTGTTATGCTTGCTGTTTTGTGATACATAACGATGATTCGGAGTTGTATTAAGTTCACGGTCGTTGTCGCTCCTGTGTTGCATAAACAGTCGAGTGTATACAGGCAGACGTTCTGTGTGATAGAGACTGAGTAACAACAGCGTGAGGAGGTGGATAATGTTGCAGTCACAAGTAGCAAGTCAACCGTTCAATGTGGACCACACATACATCTTAGTAAGCATGTTCACATCACACCCGGGTCACCAATGGGGAGAGAGTCCCATCGGCCATGAAAATTTCTTCAAAACAATCTAATTTTTTTTTGTATATTTATTTAGTTACATTTATTAATATCTTACATACAGCAGTGTAGTTTAGTGACATTTGCTCAAGAAAAAATAAAATAGCCCATATGTTCACCATATTTTGAATGCCTGGAAAATGACATATTAGCTTAGAAGTTTGAAAAAACAGTCATTTTAAGCTATTAGTAGGTAACAAAACATAAGACTTTATGTCAGATGGACCATGAATAACTTAAATTAATTATTTTGTCTACTGTAGAAAGAATCAAAAAAGTTTTTGTTGCTGATATGCACAGAATAAAATTGCGTAAAATAATAAATCATTAAATAAGTAAATAACTTTGATTATATTCAATCTTTTTGCAGTCATACATAAACCTGGTATTAGCTTGATATTTACGTTCCCTCTTTACAGTACTAGCAGTTAAAAAAAAACTCTGGTAACACTTCACTGTCCTGGCATTCATAAGCCAGGATAATAACTTTACTTTGATTTAATATTTTGGCCTAAGACGTTTATATTCTGCAGAAAACAACAGGATTTCTTAAAATAACTCAGATAAATCTATGTAGTTTATATTATTAATGATTTCAAGAAGCCAGGAAAATGACAACACAAAAACCTACTCACCTTGAAAAAAGTTTTGAAATAGATTTTGAACCAGAAAGTTGGTTCTTTATTCATGCAACAAGACATGTTCAGATAGATGGGTATCTAATCAATCTATTAACATAAGATATTGATTGCTGGCTCTATCTATTTTGGTAATAAACCACTAAATAAAAGCAGCCCGGAAAATGACAGATTTTCTTGTGACAAACATATTATTAATATATATTATAACAGGGCTACGTCCCTGTTATCATTGTTGTATTCAGCTTTAATAATGCAGTCATAAGCGATAATACGTTCTAAAAAGGTTTATTTAACAGGTAGGCTGGTGGTTATAACTGTTTCCATCCCACTCCACAAGGGAGGGGTGTGGACAAAACTCCGGATGGTTCCGGCGGAGCTTTTATGGATCACGTTATTCAGCAAGAGACATGCGAAAACCATTGGTCTCGCATTGAATACTTACAGATTTTGATGTAATTAGGTTCCAGTCGCACATACCTTGTAACTCTACGCAATATGGAAAATCATTTTATGCTTCCTAATATGGAAGTGAAAGATTGACAAGATTCTAAAGATAACTCCTCCTCTGAAATATAAATCTAATTATAATTCAATGGTATGTTTTCAGCCTTGAAGTCCCAAAATCGAATTTCTACGGCTATTCTTTACCAAAGACATTTTATGAAAACGAAAGTGTTTTAATGTTGTTATTAATACAAAAGTATTTATAATTTTTGTATTACATATATATATCACTGCAGTTGGTTTCCTTATTTTAGGCCAATGTATCTGAATGTACAGAACCTAAATTTATTCGTGCCTTGGTGTCTGCAGTGCATGAAAATGCCATAAAAGGTATTTCTTTTATTGTGCATATTCCTTCCATTATATTCTTTTTCTTTGTGAAATCTTGTTTAAATAATTTTCTTTTGTTTTAGATACTACTTCTGGGTGTGAATTAGATGCTGCAAAATTGAAAAAAAGGATATCTATCCTGAACCGATATATAGATCATAATGAAAATCTAGAACTTCAAGCTTTATATGCTATTCAGTCACTAATGAATCAACTAAATCAACCCAAAGGTAATAAATCCATTCATCTTGCTTACAATGTAGTGAGGCAATTTTGTTGTCAATTTATATCCTATTTGCAAAAAGTTGCAGACTGTACAAACAAACATAAGTCTATTTACATCAAGAGTTTTTAAGTTATATTGTCTTTGGGCAAAATATAACTTCTCTTCAAACGTTTTATGCTTAAATATTATAAAATATCTTTGCCTAGGTGAATTTAGTTTCTGACAAATTCTAATATTTGACATCTATTTCTACTTAGTTTCAGAACTTACGCAAATTCCATTGCTTTCAGAATAAGACATGTAACTTTCATAATAAAATATTTCTGCATATAACAATGCCTGTTTCATCATCTTAATCATCACCTCAATGTAGGAATTCGGACAGATCTATGATGGTCCAATATAAGAATAGCAACTTGTTTTGATGGTTTGTTCATGTTGAACCATCATGTTGCACCATCATGAATCCCACTGAAACCAACATAAACCGTCGTAGTATTAAAGTAGCATTTTCCATCATGGAAAGATGGAAGTTTGTTGGCATATCAAAAATCATAAACACGTAATGGAAAATGTTGGATGATGGTGACCATCAAATCATGTTGGACCATCATGAATCCCACTGAAACCAACATAAACCATCATAATATTAAAGTAGTATTTTCCATCATGGAAAGATGGAAGTTTGTTGGCATATCAAAAATCATAAACACGTAATGGAAAATGTTGGATGATGGTGACCATCAAATCCTGTTGGACCATCATGAATCCCACTGAAACCAACATAAACCATCAAAATTGTTTGTTGCAGCCATCAAGAATTTTGATTAACGTACCTTTCTTAAACGTTCTTATAATTCATAATTGAGAGGAAATTCCCATTGCTTTTTATCAGAAACCATTTGTGGCTTCCCTTCCCCCCTTCCCATAATCTTTCATTCCATTACAATAACCAAAACCATTCCATTACAATAACCTTATGCGCGCTTGTATACCGTGCTTCTAAAATTTGTTTTAATAGTAATCTCCCCGATCCTACATGATAATTTTTGTATTTCAGGAATTCTAAGGCAGATTTTCGACATCCTCTATGACGATTACGTAATCACGGAAGAATCTTTTTTGAACTGGGAACAAAGTATTGATATAAATGAAGTTGAAGGCAAAGGTGTGGCATTACATTCTGTCAAATCTTTTTTAGCTCGGCTAAAGGAAAACAGATTCTGGTGATTCTGTGACTGATGAATGACTGATGCTGTAAACCTGTTTTTGCCTAGTTAAAGACTTGAAAATAGTTATTTTAAGTCAATTCTTTTTATTCAACTGTGTTGTTTGAATTTGATGCTATTGTTATCTTGATTCACTTTGTAAAAAATATATAAATATAAAAGCAGTACTGTTCCTACAGGCGATTGAGGTAAATTTCTTTAAAACAAAACAAAAAGTGTATAATCATATATTTAACAACATACTGTCGCGATGAAATAATGAGAAGCTGAGATATATACCACAAATAGTTGAATTTTAAACTACTATTTTATATTGTGATATCAAACTGCAAGATATGAACTCACTGTAAATTAAGTAGCAGCAAGCTATGGTTCGTTCACCAGGAGTTGGCACTTGGCTTCACCTCCTCGGACGAAAAGTTCATTTCAGCGCGGGAGTAAGAGGAGAAACGTCTCCGCGTTTGAAATTGAGACAACCCTTAATGCGCGCCAAACGCAAACAGTGTATTATTTTTTAATCACTTACTTCGCTCTATCATCTGCTATTATACGTTCCGTTACTCTAGCTTGTTAAATATATATCCGCAAAATGTCTTTAAAAAGACAAACTATTCACTCGAAAGAGAGAAGTATCATCAAATTTATAAAATATTTAATGTTAAAAAAAGGCACATAAAGATCGTTAGTTAAATATTTTTGTCATACTATAGCCACACAGCAACCTTGTTCAGGATTGTTCACATCCTTCTCCCGAAAATAGCGACATAGCGGATACCACGTGATGAAGGCGGAGCCAAATGCCATCTCCTGGTGAACGAACTATAGACGACATTTAAATGATTGAATTTTAGGCTACTTTATATTATCTAATAATAACATGAAATTAAAATATTTTAGAAAAATACAAATTAAGTTCAAAGGCACACAAACAATATTTTATTTTTATAATTCTGTAACTGTCGTAGAACACCCGACTAAATTTTTAGTTTACGACTACTAATGCTCAACTCCGCAGCCTTGTAATTTTGAACCCAATCTAGAAGACAAGTGAACTCCTAGATCAAGTATTAGGAGAAATTTACATTCGTGGAGGACTTTTTGATGGAACTAACCCGCATTTGCGTTACATGGAGATGAAGACTCCGAAAATCTCTTTCGGTTAGCCTAACGGCCAGGGAACTCTAACCCATGATCCATCTACCATGAAGAATATTTCACGTCAGCACTGTGGTCGGTGAAAGCCGGATGCAGAATTCGTATCGACCAGCCTTTGCTGGGATACCAACCCGGTTCACCTCATTGGAAGGCGAACGCTCTATCCCCTGAGCCACCGTGACTCACATGAATAATATGTCCGTAATAGGAAAGCGTCCCTAGCTATGTAGGAGGACATTTTCGGACATGGTTTCCTAGGTAATACTTAATTAATCCCTCTTTCCCAAAGAAAAATATTTATTTTTATATATATAACACTTTATTCACGTTGAAATATCTAAAAATAAATTTCAAAAAATAAAATAGTGTAAAAAGAAAAAAATTAAAAATTAATCCGTGACCAGGACCGAACCCCTGACCACCGTGTCAACAAACTTCTGTACCCTTAGCATTAACAACCACACCACGACTCACACGTTGCTTTCACGAATATATGGCTTAAAGAACTTTTTTCCGGTTCATTAACAAAATCTATTTTGACCCATTATGTGCCCCCTTATTAGTTTATAAAAATTCCCTTTGGTACGATTGTT